CTCAGTGCGTCCAAACAGACCTGGGCGACTTTGCTCCGGCAAGATGTGTGCGTGTGTGTGTACTGGTTTTGGGGGTTCAAAGGGACAGAGATGTGTCTAATGTCGTGTGTTTATTCTTGGTATCAGAACATTGAGCTGGTTTATGAGGACATGTCTTGTGTTCTTGTAATACATGTTGCTGATAAAGCTTCATTAGCGGGCTCGTTCCCTCATCTTGGCGTTCAGGATCTGCCACAGGTCTGCTGTGAGGCTTGTGTTGGGTGTAGGGTCAGGTGGTAAGCGGGTTATACTGTATTAAACACATGACACCCGTGTGTTGGACATCTCCAGAGTCTGCGGTCAGCATGGACAGTCCCGTGTGCCTGATAGACACCGCCAGCGATGGGAAGCTGTGTGTGCAGCCGGCGGCGCTGCAGATCCTCCAGCAGATCCAGCAGCCGGTGGTGGTGGTGGCCGTGGTGGGGCTCTACCGCACCGGGAAGTCCTACCTGCTGAACCGGCTGGCGGGGAAACACAGCGGTCAGTCAGACACACACACACACACACACACACACACACACACACACACAGTAAAGCTGATCATTGTGCTGTGTGTTTCCCGTCAGGGTTTGCGCTGGGCAGCACCGTTGAGTCCAAGACCAAGGGCATCTGGATGTGGTGTGTTCCCCATCCCACTAAAGCAGAGACCACCCTGCTGCTGCTGGACACTGAGGGGCTCGGAGACGTGGACAAGGTGAAGTGAATTACTGTTAATGTTGACGTGTGTAAGATTCCATTCTATCAGCCCAATGACGGAATCTGATGAGTAGAGGAAGGTTAAATGTGTGCAAGCCTTTACTAGAGCTCCTGAGCAGACTTGTGGTATTTAGTAGACTTTATTTAGATTCGTTTTCATCTGCAAGTTCAGTCTGACTTTATAAATAATTAAACCTGACTCCACTTCTTTTTATTCCACTTTTACCGTTCATGTTTTAGCTGATCACATTATTAGTTGTGATATCATTTAGATGTTGTGATGTTTTCTTGGGTCTGATTTTCTTAACTGTACGTTTATTAGGGACCAAACGCTGCTGCGAGTTACAATTCAGGAGTAAATGCACAACATCAATGACTGAAAGATGAATCTATCGGTATAGATGGAGATCCGAGTTCTGCAGTGTTGAACAGGAGAGTCTGGATGCAGACTTGCGACCCTGAGATGCTTCGTCCTCTTTTATACTCTATGAGAGTAATGAATGGTTCTTTTGTTAAAGTTGACCAGTGGCTTAAAGATTTACTCATCTGTTGGGATTTAATCAAAGGTTATCAAAGACAGTGAACAAACCCTCGTTTCAGGTATTTATCTGAGTATTTATCAATACCAGAGGGAAGTTCAGGGAAGAGGACAAGGCCGTGCCAAAGTCTATCCTGAGCCTTGTCTTCACATTCCAGAGCTCTTGATGTTTTATTACAGGGCGACCTCCAGTCTGAGCAACATCCATCCTATATATGAAGTGAAAGTAAACTGCAAACACTAAAGGTTCATTCCAGATCATTATTCCACATGTTTTCCTCCTCAGGGCGACTCGAGACACGACAGCAACATCTTCAGTCTGGCGGTTCTGCTGAGCAGCACTCTGGTGTTCAACAGCCGAGGAACCATCGACAACAAGGCCATCGAGGAGCTCCAGTATCCTGAAGAACAGCACTCTACATACACTACACTGCATTACAGTCACAGCCATGCTCAAAGCAAAGATCTGCTGTCACATGAGAGTGTGAGGAAACACATCTAGCTTACTGCTCAGAAATGGAGAACAGAAAGAGGATGTGGTGGGGACAGTTTAACAGCTGATGATCACTTCACTAATGCACTGATGGAGGTTTAGCTGCAGCTGCAGTTGATGATAATCGTACAGTAACCATCATGCTGCTACTCAGTTTTGACTTTTTGTTTTTTAAACACAATTTGGATATATGGACAGCATGTAAAGCTTCAGCAGTCAGATTCAGGAACATCACTGTAACACGGCTGAAAGAGGAGGCAGGAGAGCGGCGAACGCTAGAACTATTGACAAAGTAAATAATCAGAACAAACAGCCGACTACAGTCAACATCTGAAGTGGATCAAATCAGTGAGTTTGTCGGAAGACATGAATGGGGTTGTTGACTCGTCTTCAGACAACTTTGGTGACAGGTGATGATCCACTTCAGATGCTCACTGTATTTGTACAGTTCCACCTCTACGTTCCTCACCCTAACCCAAACTACTGTTCAACAACATAGGAAAGTATCACATAGAAAAAGTGCCACAACAATGATGCAGTGACTTACATTCATTTAAATATATTATTAACTGGGCTCGCAACAGATCACGTCCAGTTTTATAGGAGAAATAGTCACAAATGCATAATTAGTGTGGGATTAAGCATCGATCTGGTCTCAACTGAGCTGAGAAACCCTGAGTATAGGTAGAGGTCTTCACATGTCTTAAAATTCAGACTGGATCCTGAAGAGACCTGCAAATGTGCTGCCGATCCTGACCTCTTAGGCTGTTTGAAAATGAGAGCGGAACCCGTACAGACCTGAGATATGCTTTAAATATAAGTGATGTGAACCTGAACGCGGCTCGAGACAGAGGTCTGACTGCAGCTGATCACACATATCCACACACTGCATAACAACTCCTCTACTCACCTTTCTGTGTCAGCTCCTGTTAGTAGTGAACAGTAATGTGAATATCAGAAAAAGAGTCTGATCATGTCACTGTTTACACTACACTAACCCTACCAAGACAACGACGGCCGCATTAGTAGCTCCAGTATCTGACCTCTGCAGAATGAGCCCGATCTCTGCTTCCTGCAGCTCAGGTAATGTTTTCAGCACATGATCACCTGCTGACATCCCATCCTCACTTTAAAGGTTACAAAACACAGGCAGTGCCGCTGACTGATCACTGGTGGCCCGATTGACTTGGGATCTAAAGTATTTACTTTAATATTACAGTATATAATATATAGTGGGACCCGACCTGAACATGACTGACCATTTAAAATGTACACGTGAAGCGGCACGAGTCCGATATAAAGAGCCCACACTCTTGCTGTTGTGTTGGGGCTGCTGTGCATCTGTAGCTGGGAATATAACATGTGCTAATGTGCTGAAAACACATCAGTGTCAGTCAAGACGATCACTTCATGACCTCTAGTGAACACAGATTGATTAGTCGGACAGTTGCTGTGTTTATTCCTGAACGAGCGCTCAGATATGTCACTGAACTAACCGAGTGCATCAAGGTCAAATCCCCAAACGAAGATGTGGATAACTCAACCGAGTTTGTCAAGTTCTTCCCGAGCTTCATCTGGGCGGTGCGGGACTTCAGCCTGGAGCTGAAGATCGACGGTGAAGACGCAACAGAGGATCAATACCTGGAGTTCGCCCTCAAGCTGAAACACGGTAAACACAGCAGTGCAGATCCTTCATCAACACTTTCACAATGAGCTGCTCTGGCAAGACTATTGATCTGATTGAGTCTCCTTTAGTGATGCTGGGCTGTGTTTGCCCCATTGACTTCCATTATAAGCACATTTATTGAAGCCGTGTCAGCAGATAATCAAGCATTGCTGGATTTCCGTGACGGATTAAGAGGCTCAATGTGTGATTTTTGCTGTTGATCATCAGTGTGCAGCATTAACCCTTTAGATCTGCCTGTGCTGAAGAGTGTCTGTCGGTTATATGGAGCTCAGTGTAGTAAAACTGCAGATTATATTCACTGATGGTCAGATGTGAGCAGCTCTACGTGTGTTCTTCTGTTGTAGGCACTTCAAAAAAAGTGATGGAGTTCAACCTTCCCCGGGAGTGCATCAAGAACTTCTTCCCCTCCAGAACCTGCTTTACCTTCCCCTTTCCAACCACGCTGGAGAAGATGTCCACGCTGGAGCGTCTGGGTCCTGCTGACCTTTGCCCTGAGTTTCAGGAGGTCAGCAAACGCTTCTGCACCTGTGTCTATGAGAAGAGTGAAGTGAAGCGGCTGAAAGACGGACACACGGTCACCGGCAGAGGTAATTCTGGATTATACTCACAGCTTCACCTGCAGAGTTGAGCTTTAACCCTGATTGAACACACCTGATGACACTAATCCAGTCTTTCAGGCTATAGGAGTACAGGTAAAGCCACAGTCACCTTTCACCCCAGTGACCTGCATTCTTGTGCACGCAGCAGACTGGAAGTTCCAGCTTGGTGAACTCTGACCTGAGGAATCACGTCATGTGATCGCATGTCTCGTATGGCTTCCTAACCACACACACCAAGACAAGAGTCCAGCAACAGGCAATCTGTCTGTCAGCAGCAGACACACACACACACACGACAGAACCATTTAAATACTACAGCCAATCGCTTACACAACAGACACGGCACTACACACGGACACAGTTATAATCTAATCATCACATGCTAAACCGCTTTAACATCAGTAAAAGTGCAGAGGCTGAGGGACTGATGCTGGTTTACACCGAGTCAGTTCTGACTTTATTTATTTTCCAGGTCTGAGGTAAACTATCAGAAAGGCAGTAACTCACAGCGGTAGCATTTAGCCCAGACTAGAGCTCATCATCATCACCTGGGGTCTGTCATAGTAGTTTGTGCCGTAGTTGTCACAGAAAATCGAGTGTTTCTGAAGTAGGCACTTTGTGTGGCACCGTGGCACATGGTTAGCACAAAACTGCTTTAAATATGGAAGATAGAGGTTACATGGAGTGTTGCGGTGCCACGACCCGGCGCAAGACCAACAGAAGACCCATCGCTGACCCTTTTGTTTTATTCTGCGGTTTTTGCAGCCCAATCCTCCAGATTTCGGCATGCGCAGACTGTACTGTGACCCAGCTTTAGTGTGTTGGAGCAGGGCTGAACTGAACTCTGCAGAGCTGGACCTGATGGGCTGATGATCGGACACATGTTCACAGAGATCTCTCCTTCTGTCCTCTCTCCCTCCTGCAGTTCTGGGTCATCTAGCGGAGCTGTACGTCAACACCATCTCCAGCGGGGCGGTGCCGTGTCTGGAGAACGCAGTGGTGGCGCTGGCCCAGATAGAGAACCAGGCGGCGCTGCAGGAGGCTCTGCAGGTGTACCAGGTGGGAATGGAGGAGAAGAAGAGAGCCTTCCCTCTGGAGCTGGAGCAGGTCTCCGCAGAGCACCAGAGACTCAGCCAGAGCGCCACACAAACCTTCATGGCCGAATCATTTAGAGACACCGATGGGAAACACCTGAAGGCTCTGGAGGTACAGCACAACACACGTGTGTTTAGGAGATCTGAGCACTCTTTAATTCCAGCAAGCTGTTCTGCAGAACTGAGCACCAGACTCATGTCCGGCCTGCATGTCTGCCTCTGACATGCTGTTGGTGTGTTTTCAGGAGGAGATCAATAAGCTGTTTGATGCGTGTCTGCGGGAGAATGATCAGGCTTCAGTGAAGAAATGTGAGAATCTCCTGCTGTCTCTCTCGGCCACGATGACGGAGAAACACAAGCAAGGCTTCTACGCCAAACCTGGAGGCTACGACGTGTTCTGCAGAGACCTGGAGGACATCGTGAAGAAGTACAACAGCCTGGTGAAGAAAGAAGTCAAGGTGTGTGAAGCAGTTTATCCCGCTCCGCTGTGTGCGTCTCTTACTAAACATGTGCTGATGCTGCTGTTTCCATCAAGCATTCTCATGTGCAGTACTGTAATGTACAGTAACACAGGGGTGAACACCGCTACAGTCCTCTTGTGTGTTGTCTGCGCAGGCTGAAGTGGTCCTACAGGAGTTTCTGAAGCTGAAATCTGTGGACTCTAAAGCCATCCTGCAGGCGGACAGAAAACTGAGCGAGAAGGAGAAGAAGATTAAGGGTGAGAGTCTTAACACTTCAATATCCTCATTCACCTCTTCTAGAGGTCACAAGATTCCCTCATCATTTACTGACTCATATTACTCTCTTCAGTCTAAAATGAAGGGTTTTGAGCACTGAAAACAAGACAGTAACCCCTCACCCTTATGATTACAGCTCTGTTTTGCAGTTAAATCCTGATCTAATCACTCCACACTATATCACAGCTCTAACACTTCTGAACAGACTTTACCAGGGTTCTGTAATGTAGGAAGAGTACAACAGATCAAAACACATCTACTGTCACACTGTGCCACCATTTACTAACATTTATAAACCATGACACTGTAGTATAAAGCAGTCATGACACACCATATATCATTTAAAAGCTAACTGTGTCTGGTTTGCATATCTGGTGACTGATGTTTGACAGCTATTCATGTGCAATAAAGATGCTCATCAGAGTCATAAAGCTTTACTTTGCTACAGTAATTCACATGTAAAAATGTTTTTTAGTGGCAAAATTCAACTCAAACATCACCAACCTGCCCATACTACTTATGAATTTGATGCCTACTTCACAAATATGGTGAACAGTATGAGGAACCTGCAGTTTATACTGCTCAGAGCACAGCAGCCCTCTCGTATGGTCACCACAGTAAACCTGGTGGTCATTTCTAGAACTGCAGCCAACTAAATCTCCTTGTCTGATTGATCAGCTGCACATTTGGATTATGACCTGTTCAGATATTTAGCTTTCAGTCAGTTTGAGGCTAACAGCTTTTGTAATGTGCATCTGTAATGTAATAGAATAGACTATAGTTGTATAATATTCACACACACAGACACAGCTTCAGTTCTGTTCTCCTTCATCTGCATTCTGACGTCTGTCCTGTGTGAAATGAGACTGACATGAAGCCTCTACAGTCATGTGTGTAAGCTGGAGATGTCATGTACAGTGAATAACAGCCTGTGTGTGTCCAGAGGAGACGGAGAGAGCGGTGCTGCTGGAGCAGGAGGTTAAAGCGAAAGAGGAGACGCAGAGACAGCTGAAGGAGAGGATGGAGGTGGAGCAGAGGAGTAATGCCGAGCGGATGCAGCAGATGAAGCTGAAGATGGAGCAGGAGCTGGAGCAGCAGCGGGTGGAGGCGCAGCGGGCGCTGGACAGCAAGCTGAAGGAGCAGGCGGCGCTGATGGAGAAGGGCTTCCAGGATAAAGCGGATCTGATGAAGCAGGAGATGGAGGAGTTCAAGCAGCAGGCGTCCGATGCGGAGAACAGCAGAAGCCGAGAGCTGAAGGAGCTGATGGAGAACACCAACCGCAGACATGAGGAGCAGATGAAGATGATGATGGAGCAGCACCGACAGCAGATGCGGGAGATCCAGAGGAGCAGCGGCGGAGGGTCTGGACTGCTCTGCTCCGTCATGTAGACCCACCGGACACTGCTCACGCTAATCACCTCCTCTGCCTTCACTTACTGGAGAGCTGTTCTCTTCAACATCAGAGGAGACGTTAGAGGAGCAGCACCTCTGCCTGAACCTCTCTCTGACGCCGCTGATATCCTCTCTCCTTCTGTTTTAACATCGGGTCACATTCATCAAGCATGACCAGACTTCAGTTTAACCCTCCCGACCGGAGCTGTTCCTCCATATATCACATGCTCCTCAGCTTCATCATGTGTTCTCCTTCACATGGCCTCTTCTCATGCACCTTGCTGTTACTCAGGCCCTCTCGCTTTTATAACTCTCCATCATCTGAGTAGTTTATACACGTACAGTCAGGTGTAACAGGTTAACTTCATGCTTTAAAGAGTATAAGATCAGCCTCATCCTTTGAGTCTAGTGTTGGGCTGGTCTGATACGTTGATCTGTAATGTGACTCTGGACGGATGAGTCGACTCAGGGAGTGATTCGTTCATTAGTGCAGGAGGAGATCAGCTCATTACTGCAGTCTTCAGTCCAGCGTTCATCAGGTGAAAGATTTGCTCTGTTTTCCTCTCGAGTCCTCAAATTTCAGCCGTCTGTCAAATAATCTAATAAAGTGCTCACATAAAGAGAAAGAACGCTTGTATGTTTACTTAATACAACAACTGAAGCCTAATGTGGATATTTTCAACAGCTCATGTGTGTTTACATGTATTCTCATCTCTTCTTGATGT